ATTCAGTATGACCTCTACAAGATGATCCGGGGCTCACATGTCGAAGAAGAAGCACTCGTAGTTAATCTGATATTTTCACTTTTTCAAGGAAGAGAGGCTCACATTCAGTATGATGTAAAACTGACATTTCTTTTAGTTGACTAATACTCCCACTTCGAATAAATAGGATCCTTTTCTTTATTTAAGCGTCAGATAATGAAGGCCTGAAAGCAACAGGGGCAGCGGCTTGTTCGGCTTCTGTGCTTTCAACCACAGTCGCAGTCACCACCACTGACACTCTGCTTCCTCGTCTCAGCCATGTAGACGTTGGCGACTCAAGTGCTTCATCGCCAATACCAACATCAACGCCAACACTGGCAGCAACAGCACCGCCAACTCTTCTGACACCCACACTGCTGCGATACATTAATTTGGTCGAGGGCAATTCAAACGGTGCTGTTCAGAATCCCATGTTGGCTCCATTATGGAGTTCAGGCCACTCGAGTGATGAAAAGCCCCTCTCTTTTGATCATGCATCCGAGGCTATGTTTGGAAGTGCTTCTTCCGGAGTGCCTCCAAATCAAGTAAGTGCTCTTGCATAGGCCATTCTGTGACCTTTATTGTTTTATTACTATCTGCCTACTTAGTTTGGTAAGTAAATGTATCTCTTCTTATTAAGAATCATCCTTCGGCTTTGGTCTCAGGAGGTTTTTGAGTGCCATAATCAGCAATATTATAGATGCCTCAAAGTGTCCAGCAACTTTATCAATAAACCTGTTTTAATGCCATATTTTCCGCCCTTGACTATGTTGATTGTTTTACTAATCTGGCTCAGTGGTTGCTTCTCGGCATTCGTGCATCTAGCTCTGCATAAGGGATTGAAATTGGTTAGCTTCAGCTTAAAAAAATTCTTTCATCGCTTTCAAGTTTAATATCCTCTTCACCATACGCTGATTGGCATCACTCCTCGTACAATCATTTTTACCGCTTGCTTTTGACACATTTGTATCTGCCTAATGCATCCACATGATTTGTGTCATTACATATATATACATACCAACAAACATGCATACGTCATAAGCCAGCAATATATATATATATATATCAACTAAACATTTAAATTTCGTATAAAAATGTTCTAGCAGGAATCTTATTCATTAGCCTTTATTTTGTTTGTGTTCGTGGGTACTTTTACATATTTCATTCCGCAACTTCAAGTTCATAATGCCTTTAGTTTACTAATTATTAGCATCATCACGCTCACAATCATGGCAGACTGTCATTTAACATTGTTCTCATAACTTGTGAATATTTTTATCCGTCATGCTTCCCATAGGACCATGTGAAATGAAAACTGGGATCAATTGAATATAGAAACGGTTCCCTTTGTTGTTTTATATGTGAATTTGACGTAAATTCGGCGTCTAAATAGAACCTTAAAAAATGCGAGAAAGATAAATACCAAGATCCCCCTCGACGATCTGGTTTTCTTAATATTGACATTTGGTCCAGTACTTACGGAAATTCTGGCATTGCTTTAGTTGAGTGATGATTCGACTTTCGCAGAGAACATGTTTATGCCAAAATCCGGCTTTACCGGATCTCATCGTCAAGTTCAAGTGGCTTTGAGAGACTTCTATCTGA